CGAACTAATTCTTTCTCCCTGTATCATATGCTTATGTGGAATCTTTATTTTTATATATTACTACGACTGAAGTAACTACTTCTATGAATTTAATGTTCATTTTGTTGTACTAATGCGGTGTTGTAACTTTGACCGATGGACATATTTGCCTGGTCCTACGTTGTAGCTGACTGACTGTTACATGCATCCATCCGACACCTGCAGTGATGCACAACCCTGAATGACATAGGAATAGATTAGAAAATACTAAAATTAGGTCATATTATTCAGTAGAATCTTCTTGATCGTGACTCATACAATACTTGTAAACAATGATTAGATACATTCGGTTGCATGATCCCCACAATCAGTCACAGCAGCTCAGTTGTATTTATTCTCCATCTTTCGTTAAATTACATTTCAATTTAGTTTTTCTTCTTTCGTTCCCATTTTTTGTTCTTTTCATTTCCTCTCTTGGTGTACTAATGTGAACTGTATGTATATTTCAATCTCGAGTAATACTTCAATCCACTTTATATTTTGTTTTTCTTATTTCTTTATGAAATATGCATGGTGTAGATTATAGGTGTTTGCTTAAATTTTTAAGTATCATAGAAAATTCTATTATCAATTAACTGTGTTTATATTTTTAGAATTCATTTGTGCATACTTTATATTGATACTTGTTTGTGTTGTATATAAGTAATTAAGTACTAAAATTAGTAGTGATAATTTCGTTATAAATCATAATCAACTTAAGTGACATAAGGATGTGTTACGTATATAGTTATGGTTAATTTTGGCTTACTTCAAGGTATGCTCACCTAAATAACGTGGTAGTAAATTGGGATATTGCTTAAAAGCTGCTAATCGAATATAGACATTTTATTGTAGACTGTGTCACTTCAAACAAAGTTGACCGGGGTCCACCAGTTAATCGCTGTATATATATAATACGTTTAGTGTGATAACATGCTGGAATGTGTCTATTGTTTACTCGTATAATCCCTTATATCATGATGTGTTCCACTAACGAAGAATTATCCGTATCCAACTTATAATTTAATAGAAAATGACAGTTTATAACAGAATTTTCAGAGTTAACGTTCACATTAATACTTAAATCCCACACTGTCCACTTTAAACAGTAAAACATTTTACAAGCCAATCTATTGACATATGGGTTGATTAATAAACAGATGTTTTAGCGTTGACCGTATTTAGAAGTTAGCTTTAATTTGTATAATAATCGCTAATTAATACTGAATATTATAACAGTTGAATAGATGGGTAGCAGATGAAAGTTTCAAATAATTGCATTGAATCCAAGTATGAGTGTTTCAGATAAGATAGAAAGCGTATACTGAATTCTCTGACTAAGAAATGCGTTCTCAATATAATCGCCTTGTGATAATGACACATCTGTTTGCCAGTATCAAAGATTCATTGTGAATATAAAAAACAGAGGAACATAAATTCTTAAAATGAGTAAATGAAGAAGGCATCGTGTTTTCTCGTTCCCTTTTTTTAAGCAAAATAAGCTCCTATTTTTTCTTGGTCCCTACAAATTGTATGTTCTGTTAAAGTAATTCAACTGTTAATCGAAGTATGAATACAATTTTCAGTAAATATCGTCATGGTCAGTGTACGACACGGTGTCGGGGTATGAAAGAAAGCTGCAATGGGCTGGCTTCTGTTGGTTTTTCACGACTCCCTGGTTGGGATCCAAGAGATGGTTCAACACAGTGGCTATCAGATATGGTTCAGAATAGAAGCCAGTGTCGATCCTACTGTAACCTTTTACTTTCTTCATAAAAATGGTTGTATCTTCCTTAATTGAAAGAATTCTTCTAGTTGTACTTTTCCGTCTCCCCCATTATTATTATTATTATTTACACTACCTCACAATAATCTGGTCGTTATTGTTCTCCTTTTTTTTCTTTTACGCTCCTTACCTTCTTTTTTTCTCTTCCCATTCTTATTGTTTTGTATGGCGCCTATATATTTGGTGCCCCCTTGTACCAATATTTATGTGTTCAAATAAAAATAAATTAATTCAACTTGTAATATCTGTTGAAACTTCTACAATTTTATTTCTGGTCTACAAATGCTCTGATATGGTCGAGGGTGGGGAGAGTCAGCTCTCCCTCTCAAAATGCTCTCACATGGCCACGAGTATACAGCCACTGATAGGGAAGTTCTACTCACTTCCATTTCGTCGCAGGGGTGTCGTTTACCAAATTGAGAGGACGAAAAACGAATGTCCGGCGCTTTATCCGGGTTGCTGGGATCAGCGGATCCACTTAGGGGAGTTGAGAAACCCTGATTTCAAATTAATGGTGCACATAGGCTCCAGTATCCTGAAGAGCAAATAGAGTATGAACCTAATGTTGGTCACTGGCTACCATGGGACTATATCTCCTTACGTCGCTCCACTGCCCTGTGGATTAGACCTCTAGGTCAAAGGCTGGGGCAGTGGCTCCCTAAGAAAACTACCTGCTTCGGTTTGGGCACCCGGACAGTATTCCAGCCCTTACATAAACCAGTGATAACTACTACTGGCTTCATTGTTATTGTGTGGCACATATGTATTTGTTGGTCCCTTGTACTAATGTTCATGTGTTCAGATAAATAACTCTCTAGTTCAATTTATCTATCAAATATTTTGTTATTGCCTGTCAAAAGTCCTCCAAAACTATTCAGTATTTTAAGTTCAAAACTTAGGAAGTCAATGAACTAAGTCCTACAATAATCATATCATGTTGAAGAGTGGACTCGCTAGAAGAGTAAGCCGATTCTGTGAGGACGACATACGGGTGAACTCGAGGAAGCTCGGAACGAGCTGAAGCTATTCCATCCAATCATCTTTTGGAAGAAAGTTCCAGAATCTCTACATGTAGCTTCCCTATTGGACAAGTGCTAAAACCCCCCTGTATGCGGATTGGATGACAATAATCATGATTTCGTTTTTACTAGAAAAAAAAAACTATAAATACCTGATAGTTCTGTACCTTATTTGACCCTGTTTGGAATAGCATTCCTTTCACTTGTCTTCTGTCTTTTGATTTGTGACTTGGACGGTTGTAGTGTTCAAGTGCTCAAGTTATACGCGGTATATTAAGAATGTATGCTCTAGATATAACAAATTCCATTTGTGTTATGTAGTTTTGTAATAGGAGCTGAAAGAATTGATTTTTCAGTTGAACAATCGCGTTACATTTTCTCAGGATTTTATATTATTCAAACATAAATAAATAGACTCACTGTTTCAAGTGTAACTGACTTGTAAATAATAAATTGCATGCGTATCTATGAAACTATATGTTCACTTTTTGACGCCTTGGAATAATGCATGGATTTTGTTTTTAAAACTACCATTGATTCTTATTCATCATTTACTGTATAGAATTATCAATGAATTATAGACTTTCCAGTGTCTTTTAATAATCATTTTACATATCAAATCATAACTTACCAGATACATATTTGTGTACTTAGCTTTGAAGTGCACTCAGTTTGTTACATAATGGATGGTATAAAATACTTTTCTCTTTCTTCCTCAAATATACTACGCTAATACGATAAAGAGATTAGTCACGTTGTACCAGATCCAGGATTTACGATCCAGAATAGAGAACCAGATTAACACTAGATGATACTTTATTCAATACAATTACAAGCAGTCACACTCAGTGAGTCCGGAGTAGAAATCAATGAGAGAAAAGGAAACCACATATTTAACAGTTAGTAGGCTGAGGGTCTGTTTCTTCACACTCAGTGATTATTCATATTCTACTGTCACTACCATATATCATCTTGATAGCTAGTAGTGTTAATTGAAGTACGAGGGGTGGGGTTCGAACCTGGAACCGAATGGTTGAAAGTCGGACATATCCGATAACATTTTTGCTAATAACCTAAGTTTAAAGCACCAAGTCTGAATGGTTATTATTCATTTTAATCATTATACATAACTACTCTTTTCGAAATACTTTCTATATACATTACTGTTATATGATATGATGTTACCATGGGAATCTTGTTTAATCCACTCTTGTATATCATGATGTACTAAGTACATACATTTATCATTTATTAATTTCGCTAGAGGATCAGCTAATATTACTTAACTTCTCAGTTTTATTTATCATATTCCAATGTTTTTAGGTGTAAATCCTAAGAAATTTGTGTTTAAATTCTAGCCTTATAAAAATGGTATTAAGTAGTATATCATTCACTTGTGAAGTGGTAACTTATTGGTTAAATCATTCATTTTCCAATCAATGCATTAAATGTTGAAACATCACATTCCACCGATTTCGGTTTAAGCAACTAAATATAACATTCACACAAGCAATTTATGAACCCCGAAACTTGGCAAAGGAACTTATACTAAGTAAATGATTCACAGTATAAGTGTTCAATTATATGGTGACAAACCAATATTTATTTTCAACCTTCAGATATGTGTGTTTTCTTTAATTTTCATACCACTTGATCATTAGAAGTATATACGTATATATCATGTTTTATCAAAAGAGATATCATATTTTATGAAGGGAATACAATAGAATGAGATATTAATCGATAAAATTCGATCAAGAAGAAGAATTAAAAGATCATCTCATTATTCAATACTTATTAATCAGTCAATGAAAACATCTCAGTTCTGCAGTAGTAGGTACCCTCTCACTACGAAGCTGCTTAATGAGCATTCGAATTCCATACAGAGTATTAATTTCATCAAGATTACATGTACCATTTACTGTTGAATGAGTGCCATCTAACATGAAACTTGAGTTAAACTACCTAACTTTAAAATTATTGTTTGTTGAGTGGTTTTTAATGTTCTATTTTTCTTTGATTTTATGTTTTAAACCAACAAGTTTGATAATTCTCAATAGGTTTCAAGTAGTATTGTTTTCATGATTAAAATAATATTGTGTTATGGAAACTCTTTATTCGAAAGACATTATTTCTAAAACAATTGACTTATTTACTGTGATGTTCCTATTCTTTAGGCTGAACGTTCTGCTCTGCTACCATTCTCAAGTGATGTTGACTGTTCAACACCTTCACCTCCATTATCTACCAGATCTACACACAATAATGACAATTATTTAGAGTTGTTCGCATCTCAACCGACTAATACTGCTGCTACTCTACAACAAAACTCTTCCTATTCACCAAGTGACAGCAAAAATTACACTATCAAATATACTAGTAATTCTACTCATTCAACAATTACTCCAATTAATGAACAAGAAAACGATCGACAGTCATCACAACATCGAAAACCACATCGTCAACGTCGACAACACCATCATGAGAATCGTAGTTCATTCCATCGGCATAGTGTATTACGTCAATCACTCGGTGGTATTAATGTATTAACTCATCATACAAATGCATTACATCAAGATTCATCTGAACCAGACAATGAAATATCGCCTAAAAGTTATGACAGTAATGTTGAGGATATCAGAAAATGTACACCTAAACGAGTCGATAGTAAATTCATTGATTATTTATCATCATCAGCATCATCGATTCATACTAATAGCAGTAGTAAGTCTTTGAAGAATTCTAATCACTGTCATCATCGTCATAATGATGACGTTGATGACTATCAACTAAAAACATTCCGTTTATCAAACTTACCATCATGGGATCATTTAAATTATGCATTAAAACCTTTTACATCGAATCATCATGGTAGCGAAACAAAGTAAGCATTGTTCTATTTTTCTGTTGGAGACCCAGGTTATTCAGTTATATGTTAGTGAAAATTAATTGTGTTAATTTTGATAAAAAGTTGTGGTGTTTGTCAGATTTGTAGGTTTACACCACAAATTGACCTTGGTTTGGAAACAATCGAAAACCATGAGGCACTTGATAGTTATTACGTCCTTTTATGTACCTTATTAACATTACCACGGCTCGAACCCAGGACATTCAGTTATCACGGGGAACATTTAACCTTCAAATCGCGGAGTTGTTGTTCGAGGGTTTACATTTCTGGTTTCAGTTAATTCTCCGTATTACATGACTAACATCCATTGCCATTCATAATGTAAAACTATGTATTAATTATTGACTATGTAGTAGAAACATCGGATTTTTCAATTAGTTATGGCTTCAAATGGTATACCTACACAATTCAGTTTGCATAGATGAGTATATTTCTTTAACATGCATATGTATGGTTCGAGGTCTAGTTCATATACCTATGCTCTATGAATGAGTTATATTAACATTTGCTTTTAATACTAATGAATTTAGACGAAATATTTACCAAATCTACCACCTACCTTAATGCATGAGGGTGGCCAATTCAGGCGTTCATTCTAAAAAACACTAGGGATCGTCAGACGAAGAAGTGTTATCAGTCTATTACATCATTATTGGTTCGACCTGTGTTGTTAGATGCAAACTCTTTAATTCAATCCCGTAAAATCATCTTGCAATTATTTGGTGTTGAGTGACATGGTTGAGAATCAATCATCCACCCACTCTTTTCTCCCTAGTCTCAAGCTTCAATTTTACTTCATAATTTTTGTTTCTCAAATGTTCTTCAATGTTTAGTTTTTCTCAATATTATTGATATTTCTATTCTTCTACTATGAGTTTCATTTGTATTATAAAACTTCAATAGCTTACAATCCATATTATCTGAAAGAATGAATGGGCTCATATTTATTTTTGATTTTGTGATTACATTGCCTTCATTTTTCCCTGCTCATTGATGTGAGATATGAAGGATCGATTTTGTTAGCTTTCCATTGAAGTTTATATTAGTTCGTCTGGTTTCCCGTCCATCTTTTTAAATTTTTTGTCGTTATGATTTCTGCCAATATAGAGGGAACCACATACTTCGATTTAGGCAGCAGAGAAGAGTATTGTTAAATACTACACACAACCAAATTACATCTTGAAACCGAGTACACAAATATGTTTTTAATAAATAAGTGACATTAATTTTTTCGTTATTACTACCATTAATTGAAATCGTGTAGATCAATGTGTACGCCATCTAATTACTATGTAAGAGTTTTCTACAATACTAATAGTGGCAAAGACCAGAGAGCTAGAAAGAGATGATTACACAACGACTAAATACTAATAGTAAGTAAGAATAAAATGAATTAAGCCAAGTTAGTTGAAATAAAGTAATTATCCTAGAAAGCGTAGTGATGTAATCAATGTACAGAAAGAGTTAGATATAATTTTATGAAGTGTTTGTGTTATCAAGGCAGAGAAAGATTTACAACTGTCTCGTTTCGAACACACAAATCAGGTTTCTGACGCTTGATAGCGATGATTTCAACGAACTTCAGAAGATTGGAGCTCAGCCTCCTATTCATCAAATTGAAAAGTTCCATGATATCGAGCTGATGTCGCGTATCCGAAAAATGTCTAGAAATCGGGTTATTTAATTATTTCTCTCGTTTAATCGGAGGCTGCTTTGATATGCACATGTAAATTTATAGATACAGTTGACGGTAATTTAAAAAAGATACTCGTCAACATGTCAGTTGTTGAACATGTTGTTTTATACAGGATTAATAATTTGGCTTCACGGTAGGCTTTTATTGTCCTTACAACATTATTACCTTTAAAGTAGGAGACGTCTTCGTGTGATCGCTTAGAAAATCACCGAGTGAACAATGTCTGAGGTTAACTATAGAATGCTATCTAAAGTGTGTTAATCGATCGATGAAATGGTGATTCTTCATCACAACTGAGTTGATTAGACTATTTTATCAGAATCTACCCAATTAATTCTTAAATATTATTATCTGACACATGATTGGTCATTTAATAAGCCAATCAGAACTCAAAACACTGTAAATAAATATTTACAATTCCTATACATTAAATAGAATATTTTGTCCATTCACGTGAAACATGTCAAGTACTTTTTCTTTCTTTCTTTCATTTCATTTCATTGAAATAATTCTATCTCTAACATCATTTATCTTGAAATCACAAAAGAAACAAACAAACAAACAAATAGACAACTATTTTATTATTTTTATTATTTATATGTTAGATTTAAAGGATTTCGTTTAGTTCACAAAGCTATACAATCGGAATATTGTCTACCTCGTGTACATATTAGTAGTTATAATAATAATAAAAATAGTATTCCATTTCAATTGAATGATATTATTGTCAGTGTGAATAATCATAAATTATCGACAATGTCCGAAGCAGAGTAAGTTAATATGTTTTTTTTGTTTTGTTTATGTCTTGGAATAGATATTCATTTATCATGCTAAACATTTTGTGTATATTAATTATTATGTGAGACTATAATTTATGAACGAACTAATCAGATTTAGGATAACAGGTCTTGGATTTCAGTATGAGATTCATTCATCTATTTGGCTAAATAGTGTTTTGGTATTTTTAGCTGATATCAGTTCGTGATGAAAACACTAAATGTAATTCCTTATCCTAACGGTCAACTGTAAATCACAATTCTAATTACTCACACTGGTTTGTAACACTCATATATCCCTAATAAGTAGGTGGACATTCTCAAGTTCTATTTGACATTCGTTAGTTGAATAAAGAGATGGCGTTTGTAGCGAACGCTACTGGGTTCGTGTCCTGGGGTGAACATCAACTCTGGGATGCAGGTACATTCAACCAACGAGTTCAAAATAGGATAGAACACGCGTCCTGGATTCCACTGATAGCCGTCATCTATCTTTGCTTATTATGCTTGTTATTTAAGGCAGTCCGTACAGGATACACATATGCCAATAAGAGACAGATCAATTGCAATCCTAAACATTAGTGGGAAAATTGACACAACCAATACAAATTGAATTATATTAGTAGGTTATAAACTTTGTTTCTCTTCTTCGATCCGATTACATAACTTGCACTTCATGTACAAAATTTTACAAGTTTATGAAAACAGTCAGCACATGAGATTCAGCTTAGAAAATTGTAATTAACGGATTAATAGTCGTGTATAGTCAACTTAATGTGACCAATAAAGTGTTTTGGTCAGGACTATTCAAGTTTTAATCCAAGTAGTATGAAAATATACACATATACACATTGATCTTAATCTTGGATTAGTGTGTAAAGTACTAAGTGCTATTTTTAAACAAAATGAAGCAAAATTATTATTATTATTATTATGACTAATATTATTCTATCATCTATTTACTTACGATTAAAATTGCTAACTTCGGACTAAGTTACTAACAGGAATTTAAAAGTTCATGTATTTGGCCTTAATTTATACACTTTCTGTCTGATATTGCTAACCGTCTTATTTAAATCGAAACAGTTTAATCATTGAGTTGTAACCACTGTTTTATTTGACTGTAATGAAATTTCTTATATATAGTCACTAGTCTTCAGTAATAAGGATAGGAGGTCTGTCGATCTATATTAATCCTTGCAGTTTGTAATACTGTGGAGGTCCAATCTCGTTTTGAATATATTAACAGACGGTGCTGATATTACGTGTTCCGGTAGAGAATTCCAGTAATTCATTACTCAGTGCGAGAACCGGAACTCCAGATGTAAACGGTTTGATCTCGGTTTTTGAACTTTCTTCGAATGTCCTCTCAAATGATCGGTTCTAGACGGAAGCAAAAGATAAGACATGTTAATACCAAGGTCATCGTTCAGTATACGATAAGCCAATATTAGATCACCCCGTACTCTACGGTAAGATAACGGAAATAAGTTAAGGTGTCTCAGTCTGTCTTCATAAGATAGGCCAGCTAGACCTTGTACCATCTTAGTAGCTCGTCGTTGGACTCTTTCTAGCATATCTGCTTCATATTTGATTGATTGAATTGCATGATGTTTTACAGTATGTTTGATTTCCAATAATTGACATTCCTCAACAAGATGTCTCTGAAATCTTGGACGAACACTTATTATACTATTGAAACTTTACATAACTGAATGTTACAATTACCAATAGGACTATTCCTTGACATAGATAAATTGAAGAATAGTATTCTACATATGTATATATTTTATGAATAATATTCAGTTTAGCATTGTAATTTAATTGATCCATATGAATCAATTCCAACAGCTGATCTAAATCTTGTAATTAGCTCCTATTTAACTAACTAGTCATTAATTATTTCTTCATTTTATTGTTTTCTAGAGCATTACAATATGTATATAATGCATTTAAAGATGCACAACATTATACTATTGATGTAGACATTCTAAGATCATCAAGAAAATCTTTTAATAATGAATCATCTTCTACATTACTCAAACAATCATTGATAACTCGTCAAAAATCCGACTCTGGTTATTCAAATTCTATCGAAGTAAATATTCCCAAGAATCCACATCGACCGAGAAGACGACGAGAAGGTGAATGTAAAAATTATTCATCTTGTGAAATCACTCCAGAACGTTCACCTTACAAAAATGACAAAAAAGGTATTTCACTGTTGTTGTTGGTTTTTTTTAAGAAAGGAAGTAGTATTTACTGTATTATTTTCTTGAAGTTAAGTGCGCTGTTCAAAATGAAAACAGTTTACTGTAAAATGAATTATTACTATGAACTCGAACATTTACGTTGCATACTACATATACTTTTTGATAGTGAATTACTCTCAAAGAACCAGTGTTAATCAAACAGACGAACTGAGCACAGAATAATCGATTTTCACTGTCTTTGATATGCTTGAAAAGAAGGTTTTATCCAATTAATAATTTGAGTCATTTATTGAGCCCAAACTTATGTACACTCAGCTTTCATTCACGCTTTAGGTGTATGTGTATTAGAGCTAGCGATATTGTCCCGGGAGGATAAACTGAAGCTGGTAAGGTGATATTCGAGATTAAAACTTGTTGGTTTAATTTCAAATGATCTGATCATTGGGCATCACTTCAAGATTTCATATAACAAAGATAATTGCGTTTATTTCCACTTTCTCTAATCCTCAAAGGGTTGAATTTTTACATTTGACAATTCCTTGATCATTTTTTATTGTTCTATAATCAAGATTGATCATATTGTTTGTACTCTACTATGCAGTAATACTTGTATTAAAAACAAATGAAAAATATTAAACTAATATCAGGACAACATAAGATTACGCAACTAAATATGACAAGTTAGTAGTGAGATGACAAACGTGCTGGTTGTAATGAGAATAATAATAACCTGGATAAATTATGTTTAAACTTGAGTTGTAGGTCAAAACTTTGGAAAATAAACAAGGTCATCGGTGGTGGCCTAGCATAGATCAACTTGTGAATTCAACTGTGAAAATACTACAATCTATACAATTACCCATACTGATAATTAAAATAAAATGCTATTCAGATTGCGTAACATCTATCTGTACTGATCATTTTCACATTCTTTATTCCGTAATTACAGTAATTTTTAATGATTTTAATATGTATTTCCCAAGGTTTTGACTTATTTCTTATGTTGTTAAAAACACTTAACGAGGTTGTTACTATTTCTATCATAACTAAATACACTTGTCGTCATGGTTTACCGTTTCCACTAGCTGCATAATCCTCCTACATGCATGTTTGCACATAAATATTACTGCATATTAGAGTATAAAGCCTGATGAAGTTCTGTTTGAGAACAATATTTGTCCAGTGCCTTTATGTTTTCAACGGTTGATTCACTTAGATGAGTTCATGATTTCCATGAAATAAAAACATTTATATTTACATTCAATTTCAATTCTAAATTCTATGTAATGTAACTACCTGTGTTAGTTAACTGACTGTGGAATAAAATTAACAAGGTCAATATCAGAATAGTGATAGTGAAAAGAATGGGTGTAGGAAATATGATTTGAGATAGAAATTTGCTTTCGTGCAATAAAAGATGTAAAAAAAGAGTGAATACACTTGCACTACGGTGACTGATTTTGAGTCATTTCACTTGGGGTCACTAGTCATGATGACCGCCTAACCTAAATAATGTTCATCTATCAAAATGGCCCATTAACTTTTTGGATTAATACTACATCTTGGTTTGGAGGCTCCTAGTTTTTTTTTTCAGACCTACTCTTACACCAGTCGACATCCCCCACCCATCAAGCTGGGTACACACAATATATGTTCGATAAAATTGTATTAAATTCCAATAATACATTTACTACACTGCATCTAATTAGAAACTACGTTAAGTACAATCTTCAATCATGATCACCTCGAAAACCCTAACCAAATAGTTTACATCTTCCTAGACAAATCAGGTTAGTTATTAATGGTTCTATTCCTAATAGTAACCTTTTTCCAATATATGCTAACTGCTACAAAATATTTGGTATAGGCGATGGTTGTCCTTATGTAACTCATATTCCAACCACCATCCATCACTGCTTACAAAAAGCTTATGAATTAAGGTGATATCGAGGCATACTCACAGTATGCACAAATGCCAATAACAGACTGATCAATTGCAGGCTTAAGCTTCAATGGGAAGATACAAGCCAAACAATACCAAGTGAATAGTTAGATAGACTTTATTAATTGTTTAACTAAGTGTTCATGAATTTCTTTGTTAAATCTAAACTCGTTCCCTTAGGTTTCTTTCCCCCACCCACCTCTCTCTCTCTCTCTCTCTCCGTGTATGTGTATGTGTCAGTATTTGCGTGCATTTCTTAAATCTATAAATGCAAAACTTCAATACTAACTAATCTTCATTACTAATGTTCTCTTAAGAAAATTATTATTAATGTCTCCTTTATGTAATTTGATGCAAATTTGAATTAAATTCATATATTACTGAAGTATCTCCCTCTCCCTCTTTCCCTCTCTCTCTCTCTTTCTCTCTTGACTGACAGCTACAATTGTATTACATTTCTATTTGTCTCTTTACGAAGCATGAAACTCTATTCATCAAAAAATAATAAAAAACAAACAAAACAAATTAATTCATTTCAATCGACAGAATATTGTTGTTAGATATGTCACTATGTTAGTTAGTTGGTTGGTTGAATGGTACGTTCATGTGTGAATGTGTGTGTGTGTGTGTTGGTATCCCTATCTGATCCCTCATTTATGTGATACATGGATCATCATCAACACAGCTGTTTGATTGGGTTTTTTGTTTTTGAAGACAAAAAAATATATCAATCATTGCTCTCATCATCATTGATATTCCTGATTTATTAAAACAAGTCATTTCACAGTATGATTGATGATTTACACTTAGTTGAATATGTTGTCTATGTTGTATGTTTGTGTTGTTTCACGCAGATGAGACACAGTGTTCATCTAGCAATGGTTAAAGACATTTTGTCCCCTTTAAAAAAAGACATTTTAAACTTGCTCCTTTAATGTTTAGTTTAGGTTAGTTATGTTTAAAATGTTCATTTCGGGGTTCAAGCTTAGAAGTAATTAAAAAAAAGGTTTTAGTCTATTCATGATTCATGTAAGTTTTCCTGTTTGTTTTTTAAAAATATTCTACGTCTAATCATCATCATGGAGTTTTAACGAGATGATAAATATCATAAATTTATTTTAACACACATATTAGTACAAGGAGGCACCAAATATATATGCACCACACAAATCATTCGAATACTGCCCGGACACGCAAACCGAAGCAGATGGTTTACTTAGAGGATCACACCCCGAACCATTGACCTATAGGTCTAATTCACAAGGCAGTGGAACAACGTTAGAGAATTCAGTTCAATGGTAGCCGGTGATCCTTTAGGATCCTTCAGCTCATGTGCTGTACTGGCTTGGAGTTTTCCAACTACTCTAGGTGGATGCTCCATGCCTATCTACCCGATTTAAACACCGAACATTCGTTTTTCGTCCTCTCAGTGTGGTAAACAACACCTTCGTGATGAGAAAGGCAGTGAGTAGGACTTCCCTGATTCTAGCTGTATACGCGTAGCCATGTGAGAGTATTTCGAGAGGGTGACCAGATTTTCTCCACTCTAGACCGTACCAGGGAATTTGTTTAATTTATAGAACCGTCACAATGACACTCATTTAAAAATTTTAATTTGTGAGCATATATCATGAACTTACATTAGTTAATAGACCAATAAAAACCAATAACCACTGGGCAGATGTTCTATCGTGGTATTGGACTCCTCGGCATTCACTGTGTAGCCGCAACCTAGTTAGAGATCGGGACAGGGACATTAAGGTCTCATGGTGAACGCTTTACTTTTGAACTGACGAGTTATGACCTAATAGCGTGTATTACTCTTACTTCAGACAAATCACAATGCCAAGTATCGTTTTATTTGGGCACTCCCATACCACGAAAAAACAGATGTCTTGTATTCTTAGTCTTTAATGGTTGTCTAACTGGGGTTATCTCGTGATGTGAGCCCTAAAATTCAACTATCTCCACTGACCTCTTTGCACCATTGGTTTAACTTAGTTCTATAGATTTCGAACTGTATAATATTGCTTTCATTTACAAGTATACACTTACTTTCATGTTGATTCGTTACTTATTTTTTCTCCTTTCTTCTTTCTGTCTTATAAATGTAGAACAAAAAGATCGTACTCTATTGATCCGTAATACCAATAGAACCAATTTAAGTCGTTTAAGCCTTATGGATTATCCGGATTCGCCTAATGTATGCCTTAAATCACGTCAAATGTCGGCTGTTGATAGTGTGTCCCGTAATTCCAGTGACAACAATCATGGTGTCGTTGACTATGATGATAGAATTAATACAGCAACATTTGCCTCATCATTGTGTAGTAGTAATCTAGCAGACAGTGGATTTGTGACAATACGTCGACCAAAACAACCTTCACGTTTAACAATAATCAATAATGATAGTGGTGATGTTGCAAACAATCGATTTTCTTTAACTAGTGCTGGGCTTCTCTCTTCTCTTGATAACAGTAATAATAAAGCAAAAAATTCACCGAAACAAGTATCACCAAAAGTCGACACCATTGATAATCGACATCTTGATAATAATCGTTCAAATTCTCGCACACTTACACCTCACATCACAGAAGTTACATCACCGTGTATTCCAAGGAGATCGTTAAATATGGTTGGTTGCCTTTTATTGATGTCATTTGTTTTTATGTTATTGGTTATGTATCAATTTATTAAAATTCCTGTGTTTGTGTAAAGTACTTGGAGTTTTAATAATAACTCACTTATGTAGTATATATTCGTTTATCCAACATGGAACCACAAAACATAGTGTCTATTAGTAGTAGTAGTATGATGTATGCTACCTATGGTTTCAGATATAAGTAGTAACATCAGTCGGAGGTAAAATGTCTGCAAGCAGAAGGTTGGTAAGATTGAAATGAAGAGAAGAGAGAAGGGAAATGAAAAGAATCGAGGTAACAACAGGAATAAAGAAACAATAAAGCTTGTAAGGGATAATTCAAAGATGTGCGAATGATGAGTTTGATGTGTGATTTTTACATTTTACTAAAGTACTACGTGATTGTACACCAAATAATAAATTGGTCTTCCCCAGCTAACTGCTCGTTCGCTACAGTGGTAGCACTACTAACCGTTTTCTCAAACCTATGTCAGTAGAGTAGATTTATAGCCTGAAACTTATTGGTTGATAGTCGAATGCATTAACCATACGTTTACATTATATGCGTACATATAAACTGCTGATAAACGAACCGAAAGTTTTCGACAGCATACATGATATTGATGTTTCAATACCCGTATTTTACCTCAATCGTTGTTGTTATCTAACTCAAATTTATAAATGGGAAAAATTGTTTCTAAAATTAAATTGATTGTTAAAATATTTGTTCTGAAGAAACTTTGATTTTTATGAGTGGAATCATAGATTTATTTTTATTTCTGAATAACATGTTTCATAATTGACAAGTAAATACACAATTATAGGTGTCTTAGAAGTATTGCCAATATCTGCTTGGATTACCGGGTAAGTAAAAGTTAGGTCAGATGCAGGGTATTAGGGAATGATGGTAAATCAGTTGATGAGGTTGTAAATCTTCATCGACTGAGATGGTTGGGCCACGTGTTACGTATGCCTGAACACCGATTACCACGACGTGCAATACCGACTAGTGTTGGAGAGATGGTTGGAAGAAAGTTAGGGGTGGCCAAACCAAAACGTGACATCAGTGCTTGAAGACACTAACTTCTAGTCTGAGCCATGTTAGTAGATGCAGACTACGTGATCGGGATCCGTGTGACTATCGTAGTCAATGGTTGGAGACTGTGTGACATGGCTCAGAATCGACCACAATGTCGTAGATGTATACACTCGTTGTCTTCCCTTAAACGTGAGATTAAAATTACTATGTAGGTTTCTTTCTACGAATTAATTCTTTCTTCCTGTATTATATGCTTATGTGCAATCTGACTGACTACATATGTATATGTATATGTAATCTCTATGTGTGTGACATTATGTGCATATTCTTACTTACAGAATTAATGCACAGCAACTTTGCATTTAATTTTTACATGAGTAAATGCACACCCGCATTGTATCTGTCAAATAATCACCTTACTCATTAGCAAAATCATGATGATATAAAGATATTGTACATGTATTTACATAATGTTCATGTGTATTTGAGTAGGAGGAGTTTACATCAGTTTCAAATTAATTGTACACTTGGTTTGTCTTTGAATACATCAACTATAGTTGATTCTTTATTTAAATTAATATTTAATTTTGGAATGAGCTGTTATAGTTCAGTTCAACTGAATTCTTGTAAAGCACATGATTCGGTCTATTTGTATGTAATGATAGATAATTCATTCAATTCAATTAGATAATTACAGATTTCTGTAAACAGTAGATTAGTGTGATTTCTTAGCCTTTTGTCTGATTGCTTAAAATGAATGATACAGAATTGATTTTTATATGTAATATGACTGATTGATTAGCAGTTGGTTCTTGAAGCATAACATCTGGTGGTGATGATAGATTCAGGTTTAGCTCGATCTGCTTCCCCATCTGAATCACATGTACACATATACACATTTATGCATACAAAAATGTAATAGATAGAATCTTAAATTAATATTGTAGAGATAGTTAATTGAATAGTACCTCAATATGAACTACTGATAGCAGTCAGTAGCATGTATAATTTTGAAATTCATTGTCAGAACTAACTGAAGTGTTAGACGAACTAGAGTTACGTTATTGTTATCACTACCTAACTATTCCTCATGCCAATAAACATTCTCTACTTACAATAGATCATGATATATTGTTGTAACATTTGTAACTCACATACCCTCAATTTGTACAACATGTCATTTGTTCATGATTTACGTGAAACACAAAGCTTTAGTTATATCCTGACCACCTTTCCAACTTATCACTTCACTTTCTCAAGATGGTAGAGGGAGTTTGTAGTTCAGTTGAATGATTTTGGTGGAGTTTTGTTCTTTCAGCTGGATTCAATCTATTAACTAATTAGAAAAATCTTAGACAAATATAGGACCATGAATCAAATCAATGAAAATAAAGAAGTAAACAATGATAAATTAGAAGTCAACCAATCAAGATCGAGGTCTAAAAGACAAGCTGTGAGTTATATGTGAAGAAATTCGAACACTTCACTTTTATTTGAAGTTTGTGCTAATGATGTCGTTCTGAGAAACGATGAAAGTTCCAGGACTATTCTATTTTAGCACAAAGAACAAAACTTCACTTTCTCATCTACATCTAAGTTTATTATTTCTCTTATTATTAATAATCATAAATTGATTGACAATGCTGTAAATCGTGTTGATGAATCTGTTTAGACCAAGTTCACTATGTTGATTGATTGATATTTGATTATTGGGTATTTATAGACATAATAATTAGATATGTAGGTTGAATTTAATGTGAAAATGTGTTTTTTTGTTTTGTTTACTGGGTCAATTGAATAGTTAATTTTGTTAGCAATTATACTCCATATATCTATAATAATTATTTATAACTATTTGTTGAATGGTACGCTGGTTAGTTTGACACTGAGAATTGTAATTACATGATTATGTTTTCAATATAGACGTTAACATCGTTACATTTATGTCTGTATCTGGATAGTTGGTGATATTCACCCTTCATTTCACTCACTCACTCACTCACTCACTCACTCACTCACTCACTCACTCACTCACTCACTCACTCACTCACTCACTCACTCACTCACTCACTCACTCACTCACTCACTCACTCACTCACTCACTCACTCACTCACTCACTCACTCACTCACTCACTCACTCACTCACTCACTCTTCTATCCTCACTCACTCACTCACTCACTCACTCACTCACTCACTCACTCACTCACTCACCCACCCACTCACTCACTCACTCACTCACTCACTCACTCACTCACTCACTCACTCACTCACTCACTCACTCACTCACTCACTCACTCACTCACTCACTCACTCACTCACTCACTCACTCACTCACTCACTCACTCACTCACTCACACACTTACTCAACCTATGATTAATAAATGTTATCTTAATAGAACTCGTTAATACTTCCTACTATATTCACTTATACATTGAATCTTTGTTCTTTTTCAATGTAATCATAAACATCATTCACTCCCTCATTTCATTAAATATAAATCTAACCTTTATACAAAGTGATCGAAATATATATTTGAGATAATTTTAAACAGCAATTACTTCTTATCTTTTCATAAATAAATTTAATTATAGATATGTATTGTGTTAAATAGTTTGAATTAACCCTCTCCTTAATATTCAAGACTAAATTCTGAATAGTCTCTATGACTCCCAGTCTTAACTACTAGTTATCTATTTTAAAGTGTTGCCGTTTCTTGTTTGAATCTGTTCTATGATTGATTGATGAAGTTCTAAGGTTTATTTAACTAATTGTCGATAGTAATCTGTTTATTAATCTCTGTTCGTTTAATTATGATGGCAACTTGAAATCACTTTACAACATATCAATACCTAAGCATATTTTATGAGAGGTTTCTGTTTGTGAAGATACAAGCGATGATTTGAAATCAGTTCCTGAAGTCATTGATTGTGTCGACTGAGCCGTGTTTGTTGGATCAAAGTTGGGATCTACGCGATTATCCTGACTAAGGTTCGAAAATGTCGATCCCTATGCTGCTGATATATTCATCCTTTGTCCTTCTTTAAATCTCAAGTTTTAAGTTTATCCTATACCATTTGTAACGCGAACTGATACTATTACCAGTGGTCGTATTATCAGTAGTATCCACATTTTAAGGACGAACAATCAAAATAAGGATGACCTTGGAAGTCACTTTTCATTCAGGGAACAGAGAGTGTCTCCATAAATGAAAAGCATTCCGCAATAATAATAATAAAATAATAAAGCTTGTTACAACTCAGTGATTGTAGAATGTTTATTGAATTTTCAATACTTAACGTCTTTTTTTTCACTCTTAATTTTTTAAGAATATCACTACGTAATCTCACATATCTGAGTGTAAATATATACACTCTCAAGATTTCCCTGGTACGGTTGAGAGTGAGAAAGAGTCCACTCCTGTTATCTCTCGATATACCTTCACGTGGTCACGCATATACAGCTACTGTCAGGGAAGTTTTACTCGCTACCTTCTCGACGCAGGGGTGTTGTTTACGAAATTGAGAGGACGAAAAGCGAATGTCCGACTCTTTAACCTCGGGTTGATGTGTACAAAGGACCCATCTAGAGGAGTTGGAAAACCGTGATTCCAAACCAATGGTGCACATGTGCTTCAAGATCCTGAAGGAACAAATGGAGTATGAACCTATTGTTGGTCACTGGCTACCGTGGAACTGCATCTCACGTTGGTCTACTGCTTTCATATTAAAGGCTGAGGGAGTGACCTAAGAAAACCACCTATTGGGTTCGGCCACTTGATTAGTATACCAGTCCCTACGCAAATCGAATGACGAAGTGTAGCGCATTTATATTCGCTGCCTCATTGTATCAATGTTTATGTGTTGAAATAAATAAATAAAATAACAAATAGTTTAGTGAATAATTCATTATTGACTATAAAATCTTCATTCATAAAATTTCTGAAGAATTAACA